ATTCTGTGTCTCCCTCTTTCTCTGCCCCTCCCCTCCTCACACTCCGTCTCTCTCTTTCAAAAATAAAATAAAACATTAAAAAATTTTTAAATAAAAAAAAAGAAATTCCACACAAACCGCAGACAACTGAAGAGAAGCAAAAAAGTTTGCATTTTCTGATATGTTCTTCAGTCTCTTCCTTTCATACGGTGACAATCCTGAAAATTCATCCTATGAAATTACACCAAAAAAATTCTGTTACTTTGCATGATCCATAGCAAAAGCACCTCACAAAACAAGGTGTTGAATTCTCAAATGTATACTTTCCTTCAAATTGTACCTGTTCTATTCATTTCATGCTATCGTACCAAATGGCACATAATCTTTGCTGCATTGGACACTGAGTGTAAGAGTTTGAATTTGGGATAATCACAAGATATCTGTATGGCTTCTCGATTAGATAACAAGTGATATATCAGAAGTCAAGTAGTGTAACTTAATAGCAAATTATTTCCTACTGGGCATTAACTGTACTATTACTCAAAGTTAACTTTTTATTAAACAAAACAGAAAACACTCAGTAACAGAACATTTTAAATTCACTGAAAGGATTAAGAAAATTTAGAAAAAAAAGAACAATAACAAATGAGATAAACACATGGGAAGAAAGACAATAAAAAAATCAAGCTTGCAGGTCTGATATCCAACTAATAGTTATAGAGGTAAAAAAAGACGAGCAGAAAAAATGAAAGAGAAAATTATTAGAGATATAATATAAGAAAGTTTCTCAAAACTAAAGACATGTGTTTCCAGATTAAAAGGGCCCAATGAGTATGCAGCACAACAAATGAAAAAAGATCAAAGTCTATACACATTATCACAAAATTTCTTAACACTTGAGATAAGTGAGATTTTAAAAAGTTTGAAAAAAAAATCACACAAGAATCAGAATGACACTAACTTCCCAATATCGAGGGGAACTGGAAGACAATAGAAAAGTGTGTTTAAAATTTTAAGGAAAAATTATTTTCAACTTACAATTCTAAATCCAATTAATCCATCAATCAAATGTACAGCATAAAGATTTTTTCAGACATGTAAACTACCTCTCATACACCTTTTCTCAGGAAGCTACTATAAGCAGCATTTCACCAAAATGGAAGAATACTCTAAAAAAAGAAAGACCCAAGACAGAATCCAGGATGCAGAAGTTCCAGTAGAGGAGAGATAAAAGAAATTCAAAGGAAAATGGTAAAAAGAAAGGCTAAAAAAGGGTTAAACTGTCCAGAATGAAGTAGAAAGATGAAGGGCCCCAGGATATGTTTCCTGAAAAAAATATATATACATATGAAGCCATTAGAATTCCTTCCTACAACTCTGATAGAGCTTGGGCTGTACCTAATAAGGAGATGAGAAGGGAAAGGAGTGGGTAGGCACATGTGCATAAGGCATAGTGTGAATGAAACAAGTCTTCATCTTCCATGTTAAGTCAACGGATAACATGGAGGGAATAAAAACTAAAACAGCTGAAAGTGCAATTTGGCTATTGGGCAGCAACAATCACAGAGAAGTATGTGGCAGAAAACTGCTGGGTGTTTTGGTTTGTTTCTGAGTATCTGTGTGTGTACATATGAAATTATCTTTGTGTGTGTGTGTATATATATATACATGTATATGTATACATGTGTGGAATTATAAGACTTAAATGTGGATGTACATGTATTACTTGGACCAAAATAAAAAATTTTCCTCATACACACAAAATAACAATGACAGCAAAGGTAAAAGGTTATGTTGTCATCGCCTTTACAACTGCTTTCAGAGAAAAACATCACCATCATCATCATCAAAGGCTTTCTAAGATTCTATTTCAAAATGCTACACACTGAAATCAAAGGAGCGCATTTAAATGATTCTACTTACGACAGAAGAAAATTTACTAAGACAAATGATCAGTTTTCTTAAGTGGTATGTGTAATTCAAACTATTCTTACCCATTACCCACCTCTCAAAAACTTACAACATGTAAGAGGAAGACCAATCAAAAAACATCAGGAAAGGGGGCACTCGAAGTAAACATATTATAGGAAAAAGAAGTTAAAAAAAACTCCACTATCTTCAGACACTTAAGATGTTACTGCATCCTGGGGCACCGGGGTGCCTCAACTGGTTAAACATCCAACTCTTGGTTTAAGCTCAAGTCATGATCTCACGGTTCGTGGGCTCAGGCCCCAGACTGGGCTCTGCAATGACAGTGCCAGAGTCTGCTTGAGATTTTCTCTCTCTCTCTGCCCCTCCCTGCTCACTCACTCTCTCTCAAAATAAACATTAAAAAAAAAAGTTATTGCATCCACAAAACAAGGGATGCTTTGTTTAAAAAATAAAAGAAGTGGGGTGCCTAGGTGGCTCAGTCAGTTAAGTGTCCAACTTTGGCTCAGGTCATGATTTCATGGTTCATGAGTTAGAGCCCCACATTGGGCTCCATGTTGGCAGTACTGGGCCTGCTTGGGATTCTCACTCTCTCCTCTCACTCTGCCCCTCCCCCACTCACGTGCTCTCCCTCTCTCTCTCAAAATAAACTTAAAAAAAAATCAGGGGTGCCTGAGTGGCTCTGTCAATCAAGTGACCAACTCTTTGTTTCAGTTCAGGTCACAACCTCACGGTTCGTGAGTTCAAGCCCCACTTTGGGCTCCAAGCTGGCAGTGCAGGGCCCACTTTGGATTCTCTCTCTCTCCTTCTCTCTCTGCCCCTCCCCTACTCATATTCTCTCTTTCTCATAATAAATAAACTTTAAAAAATTATTTAAAAAAAATAATCAAAGAAATAACTTGGATTAAAAGCTTGTGGCACCTAGTTGACTCACTTAGTTAAGCGTCTGACTTCAGTTCAGATCATGGTCTCTCAGTTCCTGAGTTCAAACCCCACATTGGGCTCCACACTAGCAGTGCAGAGCCTGCTTGTGATTCTCTCTCCCCTCTTTCTGCCCCTCCTCTGCTCATGCTTTCTCTCACTCTCAAAATAAATAAACTTAAAAAAAAAATGCTTGATGCCAAAAATGCAAACAATGTATGAACCTATTCATGTACTGTTCTCAAAATGACAAAACTGTAGATATGAAGAACAAATTAGCAGTTGTCAGGGGCAAAGGGGGATGAGAGGGAGAGCTATAGGCATAACTACAAAGAAATAGCCTGGTGGGGCGCCTGGGTGGCTCAGTCAGTTGAGTGCCCGACTTCGGCTCAGGTCATGATCTCACGGTTTGTGAATTCGAGCCCCGCATCAGGCTCTGTGCTGACAGCTCAGAGCCTGGAGCCTGCTTCGGATTCTGTGTGTCCTCTCTCTGCCCCTCGCCCACATGTGCTCTATCTCTGTCTCTTAAAAATAAATAAATGTCGGGGCGCCTGGGTGGCGCAGTCGGTTAAGCGTCCGACTTCAGCCAGGTCACGATCTTGCGGTCCATGAGTTCGAGCCCCGCGTCAGGCTCTGGGCTGATGGCTCAGAGCCTGGAGCCGGTTTCTGATTCTGTGTCTCCCTCTCTCTCTGCCCCTCCCCCGTTCATGCTCTCTCTCTGTCCCAAAAATAATAAAAATGTTGAAAAAAAAATTAAAAATAAATAAATAAATAAATAAATAAATAAATGTAAAAAAATTAAAAAAAAGAAAAAAAAAAGCCTGGAAACAAAAAAACAAATAGCCTGGGGCAGCTGGCTTGCTCAGTTGGTAGAACAAGCAACTCTTGATCTCAGGGTCATGAGTTCAGGCCCTACATTGGGCCTGGACCCTACTTAAAATAAATAAATAATTTTAAAAATTAGCCTAACGGAGATTTTTGTGGAGATGGAATAGTTCTCTATCTTGATTATGGTGATAGTTGTATTAACAATATGTGATAAAATGATACAGAACTATACACACACCTTGTACCAATGTGAATTTCCTAGTTTTGATATTGTGATATAGTTATATAAGATGTACACATTGGGAAAAACTGGGTGAAGTGTCCATGATACCTCTCCATACTATTTTTGCAAATTGCTATGAATCTATAATCACTTGGAGATAAAAGTTTCTTGAAAATAGATGTTTCTCACAGCTAACATCATACTTAATGGTGAAAGACTGAAAGCTTTTCCCCTAAAGCTCAGGATTAAGAAAATATGTCTGCTCTTGCTACTTCTATTCAACACTGTACTGGAAATTCTAGGACAAATAGGACAGGACAATTGGGAAAAAATAATAATAAAAGACATCCAGATTGAAAAGGAAAAAATAAAGCCATCTTTATTGCCAAAATATGACCTTATATATAGAAAATACTTTAAGAATTCATACAAGGGGTGCCTGGGTGGCTCAGTTGGTTAACCATCAGACTTCAGCTCAGGTCATGATCTCACAGCTCGTGAGTTCAAGCCCTGTGTCAAGTTCTCTGCTCTCATCACAGAGCCCGCTTTGGATCCTCTATCTCCCTGTCTCGCTGCCCCTCCCTCCCTCTCTTTTTCTCTCTCAAAATAAACAAATATTTAAAAAATTAATTTTTAGGGGCGCCTGGGTGGTTCAGTCAGTTAAGCATCCAACTTCAGCTCAGGTCATTGTCTCATGGTTCATGAATTCGAGCCCCACATCAGGTTCTGTGCTGACAGCTCAGAGCCTGGAGCCTGCTTTAGATTCTGTCTCTCTCTCTGACCCTGGCCCACTCCTGCTCTGTCTCTGTCTCTTAAAAATAGTAAGTGTTAAAAAAAAATTAATTTTTAGGAAAGACTGAACCCTAAAAACATTATGCTCAAAGAATCCAGACACAAGAAGCCATGTACTATATGATTCCATTTACATGAAATGTCCAGAATAAGCAAATATATAGACAAAGAAAGTAGATTAGCTGTTTCCAGGGCTGGGTTAGGGAGGTGGGGAAGTTGGTAGTCACTGTTAATTGGCAGGGGTTTCTTTTCATAGTGAAAAAAATATTCTGAAACTAGACAGTGGTAATGATTGTACAGTACTGTATATATACTAAAAACCACTGAACTGTATACTTTTAAATAGTTAATTTTATGTTATGTAAAATTTATTTCAATAAAAATATACACTTGATGATAGAAACCAGATACGTGCATAGTCTCAAACCATCTCCCTCCAAATATTTAATAATTACAAAGGGAAAAATATTGTTTCCATTAGAGAATCCTGACAGATACCACCTTGGCCAAATGATCAAGGTCAACATCACCAGTAAAATGTATCAACATCACAGACACCCTAATATGATGCACTGAGGAGGGCACATTCACTTCTGTGGTATCCTTCCCCAAAAATGCAAAGCCTTAATATAATCTTGAGAAAATAGACAAACTCAAATTGAGGAACATTACATAAAATGACTATTCAGTACTCTTTAAAGGTGCCAAAGGTTATGGGGCGCCTGGGTGGCTCAGTCAGTTAAGTATCTGACTTCAGTTCAGGTCATGATCTCAAGGTTCACCAGTCAGAGCCCTGCATCAGGCTCTGTGATGACAGCTCAGCACCTAGAGCCCACCTCAGATTCTGTGTCTCCCTCTCTTGCTGCCTCTCCCCCCCCCCACCCCCACTCATACTCATTCTCTCTCAAAAATAAATAAAAATCATTTAAAAAAAAGTGCCAAGGTTATGAAAGACTAAGGAACTGTCACAGACTGGAGGAGACTACAGAAACACGGCTATTAAATGCATTGTGCAATCCTAAACGGATACTGGAACAGAAGAAGGATATTAGGGAAAAAAAACAGTGAAATCCTAATCAAGTCTGTACTTTAGTTAATATTATTCTACCAAGGTTAATTTCTTTGTTTGATAAGTGTTCTATGGTTATGTATGGTATTAACACAATAGGAAGCTATGTGAAAGACACGTATATCAGAATTCTCTGTATTATTTTTGCAACTCTTCTGTAAGCCCAAAATGTTTTCAAAACTTAAAATAAAGCTAACTGTTAAGAAATTCTCTATCAAGTTAAAACATTTACTAAAAGTGCTGAGAGATAAAATTTTCCAAGTTTCCCAGAAAACAGAATAAAATTCTAGACTTATAGGCTAATACACTTGTCTGTGCTGTGAAAAAAGCCTCCCCTCATTTGGAGAAGAAATAAGCTTGTAAATAAAATATTGTTTCTCAAGCATGGTACCACAAAACCTAGTCATTTTAACTCCAAAAACATAACTAATGAAAAGGAAGAGAAAAGAATGAAATGTCATATAAAAGATGTTAGATCTTTCAGTTTGTCCGAAGAAAATGTATGCTGGGCATTTATAACTCTACTTGACTAGCTTCAGTACTTACTTAGAAATGTTCTAATTTCTGACTCTATATCCTTAAATCAAATTAAAATCTCGATAGATGAATGGATAAAGATCGGGGGGTGGGGGCGTACCTGGCTGGCTTAGCCAGCAGAACATGGCACTCTTGATCTCGGGGTTATAAGTTCGAGCTCTACAATGGGTGAGATTACTTAAAAAAATATTTAAATCTTAATTAAAAAAAAAAAGGAAAAGAAGATGTGGTATATACATGAAATGGAGTATTATTCAGTCATTTTAAAAAAGAATGAAATCATGGGGCACCTGGGTGGCTCAGTCAGTTAAGTGTCTGACCTCAGCTCAGGTCATGATCTCACAGTCTGTGAGTTCGAGCCCCATGTTGGGCTCTGTGCTGACAGCTCACAGCCTGGAGCCTGCTTCAGATTCTGGGACTCCTTCTCTCTCTGCCCCTCCGCCTCTCACGCTCGCTCTCTCTCTCTCTCTCAAAAATAAACATTAAAAAAAATTTTTTTTTAAAAAGAATGAAATCTTGCCATTTGCAGTAACATGAATGGAGCTAGTGAGTATAATGCTAAGTGAAGTCAGTCAGAGAAAGACACATACCATATGATTTCACTCACATGCAGAATTTAAAAAACAAAACAAATAAGCACAGAAAAAAAAAGAGACAGATAAACCAAACAACAGATTCTTAACTATAAAGAACAAACAGATGGTTGCCAGAGGAGAGGTGGGTAGTGGGATAGGTAAAATAAGTGAAGGGGATTAAGAGTACACTTATGATGAGCACTGAGTAGTATACAGAATTGTTGAATCACCATATTGTACACCTGAAACTAATATAACATTGTATGGTAACTATATTGGAATTAAAATTAAAAACAAAAAAAAAAACTTTAAAATAAATTAAAAAATAAAAATCTACTTTAGCCTCATATACTGAGAATCTTATAGTCAAAGAGGCCAAAGAAATAATCTAATCCATTGGTTCTCAAAATGCCAGTCTGAACCAATAGCATCTCTAGGAAACCGTGTTAGACATGCCAATTCCTTACCCCACTCCAAAACTTCTGAATCAGAAACTCTAGTGATGGAGCCCTGCAATGGAGTTTTAATAACTCTCCAGGCAATTCTGATATAGGCTAAAGGTTGAGAATCTCGGGCCTTATTGAATTCCCTCACTTAGAGGCAATTTGCTTACAATCACAAGGTGTCTTAGAAGCAGCCACGTCTAAAACTTAAGCTTTCAATCCCCAATCCAATGCACTAATGACTTAACCCATGAGTTCTCATCAAGGTCCTAGTTCTTATCTCTGAGACAACAAAGCATAAATTTTATTCCTATTTCAAAAGAACACCACCACAATTATCCTATCTTTCTCTACCATCACTTTCTGTTCCATCAACTTTTTGACATGTGGTATGGTTTCATCTTGTCTTGCACAAAATATGTCACTTTATTTATTTTTTTTTTTTTCAACGTTTTTTATTTATTTTTGGGACAGAGAGAGACAGAGCATGAACGGGGGAGGGGCAGAGAGAGAGGGAGACACAGAATCGGAAACAGGCTCCAGGCTCCGAGCCATCAGCCCAGAGCCTGACGCGGGGCTCGAACTCACGGACCGCGAGATCGTGACCTGGCTGAAGTCGGACGCTTAACCGACTGCGCCACCCAGGCGCCCCAAAATATGTCACTTTAAATGAAGTACAACACCCTGATAGGTAATAGAAGCTCCAAAATTAGATGCCTAATTTCTTAAACTGATTCAAACTATTATTTTAAATAGAACTAATAAGGTTTTTTTCCATGTATCTTCTCTACTCCATCATTTTTCCCCTTGTTGTACTTAGAGGAAATATTCAGCTATATTAATCAACTAATGATAATTTTCCTGCCCTGATATCAAGGGTCACTCAAACGCCATACGTCCCCAGGCCAAGTTCTTCTGGCACATTGTGCGTAAATATGTAAAAATGAGCAAGACACCATAAAGCATGAGTAAACCCAAAAATATTTACAAAAAACTGAGAGGAAGAAAAAGGGAAACAGAATGAAAATTAAGTCAATCCTCTCCTGGACAAATCAAAACCAAGAGCAAAATTAACCAAGGAAGTAATCTGTTAAGCATTTAAAAAATAAAATTTCAATTAAATATACATAGACCCTGGACTGTGTAAGCTTATCAGAACTTCAAACTGTAAAATAAGAAAAACTTGAATAAGCTAGTAATTAAATTCTTACCAGGCCTAGTGTGGTATCTTCATCACTGTCTAGATTCTGAATGCTTTCCATATCAACACTGGGAATCACTGTATCTGAAGTGCTCTTGTGTTGTCGCTTGTTACTTTCAGTACAAACATCTAAGGATGATTTTTGCAAGGTGGATTCTGTCTTGGAGGATGTGGCTTCCATCTTTGGAGTTAAAATCCTCCTGCAAGTTTTCCTTATTTCAGTCTTCTTACATTTCTTACATACAAATTCATTGTTAGAATTCTTATTCAATAGGGATTTGGGGTGCTTAAATTGGTCTGACTTATAATTACTGAGTGAAAACGGGACAAGATACACCTTAGGTGTTTTTCCTAAAACTGTAGTCTGTACTGGTCTCAGAGATACACAAGTGATGTTTTGGTTTTCTTTATATTCATTCACCTATTTGGGTCAATAAAAGAAAGCAGAGCATTAAAACCCCAGATCCTATGCCTCCTCTTACAGATCTGTGTAAAATAAATCTAATTCTTAATTCCTGATGAAAATATAAATCCAAACTGTTAGCTTGTAAGGAAACTTTTTTCCCCACCATAATCTAAATACCCAATTCATAGCCTGAATTTAATTATTATACTGGGCGCATTTCTTACCCATGAGTCTGCAGACATATAACAATATAATGACTACATTTATAACTGAGGAGACTATGGCAACTGTCAGTTTCTGAGTAACGAATTTCCAGAGTGAGAAGCCGGCATTAACCGCTTCAAAAGCAAGTGCAGGGTCCCTGATCCCACTCTGCCCCTATTTTGGGGGTTATTGGTAAAAACCTTCCTCAACACTGAAGGTCTAGTTTCCATAGAGGAAAATCAGGGCAGGTATCCTCAATTATCTTTTGAAGCAACACCCCCGAAAAACCCATTAGTTGAGAGATGCCCCAAGGAGCAATTTTGAAAATAGTTCTGGAGTGCGAAGGTGGAAGGTGCCAAATCCTCGTGTCCTCCCAGGCCTGTGCCCGGCAATCCCTCGCGAACACTGAGGCAGGAGTACAGCCGAGAACAACAGACATTTCTCACCTTCACCTGGAGTCGCTGTCTGGAGCCCGCCTTTTCTTCGCTGGCTGAGCGCGACCCCATCTTTTCGCGGCTTAGCAGCGGGCGTCTTCCCGCCAAGATCTCGGCGGGAGGTGCTGGGAGGGGGTAGAGGAGGAGCAGCGGGGCGGGGACGGGAGCGGGGGCGGGCCCTGGCGGGCTGCGCAGACCGGCTCTGACGCCAGCTGGCCGATGGAGGGGCCTCCGCACACGGGCATTACGGTGGTCTCTATACATGTCAAGCTCACCAGCCTCAATCAAAACTCAAATTCTTTAGGGATGCGATTGGACTGAATCCACATTTTTACCTTTGATCCCGGGATTTTTGATGCTGCTGATGCCAGTATCTCGCTTTGAAAAACAATGGCGCTTGTGCGCCACCTTGGAAAAACCACCTTGCCTGGCAATGGGAGCCTGGAAAAGATTCAGACGCACTTATGGATAGAGAGCGGGGAAAATCGAAATCAACATGCACCCTTTACCTGGGCTCCCTGGTTCTTTATAACCCCAACACGAGAAAATTATGCCATATGGCTACCATACTACCTTCTTCCTAGGAAGGGAAGTATTTTGATTTTTTTTCAAGAGTTGATAAACTGATTTAAATTTTACTTGATCATATGCCCACCAATTAACTAAGATCCTAATAATGACCGTATAAAGCCCAAAGGCTTGGGAAAGGTTGTGAAATCATTTTTGTATCACAAAGTAACATAAATAAGATTTTAGTGCCCTGTAATTTTTAGTTACAGCCATATTAACCCCCGCCCCGGTTGCCATGAGTCAAAACAATTGGTTTCCCATCAGATTTACTCTGGACAGCACGGTTTTGGAGCTGTTAAATTCAAAATATAAATTTCTATGTACTCTATTTTTAAGATCCTTATCTAGCCCAAAATTACTTCCCTGGTTGGTTACCTGGGCCCTCCATTGTTCCTGGCTCCAGATTTGCCCAATTTTATTTACTCTCCCAGCCTAGACCCAATAACACAGGTGAAATAATTTGAGAACTAATCCTATTAACATTAACTTTAGGGCCTTCCATGATGTAGTTCCTGCCAAACTTTCACCACTGCTTGACTCAAAACTTACTAATAAACTTTTCATAGTTTATACTTTCATAGTTTCCTTAGTAATAAAAATTATTCATACTTTTCATAGTGTTTGATATGTACCAAAATATCTCTGAATTTCAAGACTGTACATGCTGTGCCATCTCTCCCTACCACAGCATTTATAAAATCCTTTCTATGGTGAAATGTATTCTGACTTACAATCACCCAATATTTTTTACAAACCCAGCTAGTAAATTACTATTTGTTACGATTCTGTATGCACTGTAAGAATTCCCTAACAAAACTTAAACCTTTAGACAATGCTCCATACTCCTTAGGGAGCTAAGCACGGTAAACACATCAAGTACTTTATAAATACTTATGGACTTAAATACACTGTCTAGCCAGGAATGTTTTAATGGGCGGTCTTGAGAAATTGAAAAAACTGTTAAGCCTGAAAGTACACTGTTCTGACCTCAGACATCGCTCCAGGCCCCTTGGGGGATTTTTTTTTAATGGCAATGGCCTAAATCACCACCACCTGCCCTCGCGCGACCAAAAAATATCCCACCACAACTCACTCGGCTTCATCGACTGAGCTAATCAGGTGCTATTAGCAGGGCTTCTATGCTCCTTAAACTCCAATTCTGAATTGTCAACAATATGGACAAACTGCCCTTCACCATCTGCTCAACTTCTTATTGATCACTATCCCATTTTCCTCAGCTTCAAACCAACTTAAGAGGGACCCCTTAATTCGGACCTTCCTCGCCACAGGAGCTTAACAGCAAATCCCAACGGGAAGCAATTTCCCGCCAGAAGTTCCGTCCAAACACTGCGAGACTGAGGAAGCTAGAGAAGCCTGTGAACATGCGCAATAACAGACTCGGCCTTCTAGTGGGAGACGCCCACAATCCCACAATCCTCTAGTCGCGTATTTCCGGTTTTTCTAACTCCGCCGTAAGTTGCGTTTTTATCTGTCGCACAGCCGTGTCCAGCGCCTCTAGGAGAAGTGGGCTTTTCTGTTCGTTGACGTTGTCGCCGTTCACTGTTTGGAATCACTGAAGTCTCGGGAGTCACCGCCGCTGCCATCAACATGTCGGTCCCAAGCGCCCTCATGAAACAACCGCCCATTCAGTCTACGGCTGGGGCCGTCCCAGTTCGCAATGAGAAAGGTACTGTGCTGAGCCGTTTTCCAGTCGGATCTTACCTCTTTCCTCAGCATACTTCAAACCTACCTAGACAGACCACCCCAACCCCACCAACCCTTAATATTACCCTGCCCCGTGTTTCTTCGACTTTTCTCATCAAACTCGCCCCTAATCGCTTTGCTTAAAGGAAAAAAAAAAACCTACTTTCATCTCATCTTGTTCTTATTGCCTGTCTTCTGCCCTCACAGCAAGCATCCCTCCCTTCTTTCCTTGGACTCCACGTATAAATTATACTAATATACATAGTGAATGCCTGCTTTTGCAGAGCGTCGTGCGGGATACAGCCCCTTTTTTGTTAAATATAGCCGTCTGTTTATGCTGCTTTTATAATTAACATTATTTTATGTGTCTGTCTCCCTCTACTGCATCCCAAGCTCATAACGTCCTTGAGACAGGAACCAGGTCTTATTACACTTTTTATTCCTTTCAACCTACGCAGTGACTGTATTAAATTGAATACAAACTTGTGTAAGGCAGTATTAAGAAATTCATATTGTAGATGCGAGACATGTAAAAAGAGGCACATTCTAAACAGTGTGCAGTTTTTCACAACTGTGATTCCTGTCACATAGGTGATATAAACCAAACGATGTGGAAGGGCAGAGAAGGAATAATCTCTTCAAATTGGTGTAATCAAGGAAAGCTTCTTGAAGAAGGTAGCATATAAGTTGATCCTTAAAGGATGAATAGGATTCCAGGGCAGATAGAAGAAGGAACACTATTATCTGTTTGGGGAGTTAAACTAAAGAGTATTTTTTCAAGGAGGATTTTGGAAAATAGTATCAGCTCTTTCTTTTTTTTTAATTTTTTTAATGTTTATTTTTTTGAGAGAGAGAGACTTAGTGCAAGGAGGGGAGGAGCAGAGAGTGGGAGACACAGAATCAGAAGCAGGCTCCAGGCTCTGAGCTGTCAGTACAGAGTCCGACGTGGCCTTAACCCACGGACCGTGAGATCATGACCTGAGCCGAAGTCAGGAGCTCAAGTGACTGAGCCATCCAGGCACCCCTCTTTTTTGTATTTTAAATAAACTGTACCTACCCTTGTGCAGCTTGTCTTTATTTTTTAATTCAACGTGGCTTTTGACAAGTATGCTTTGATAAATACAGATCTAATTCATTTTAACTACTTAAGAATTCCATTGTGTAATTAGGCCAGTTTATTCCCTACTGAGGGGCAGTTAGTTGTTTTTTCTCCTGTTACAAACAGCGCTGTAGTTGTCATACTTTTTTTTTTTTAATTTTAATTTTTTAAATAATCTCTCACCCAACGTTGCCCTCAAACTCACGACTCCAAGATGAAGTCTCATGCTCCACTGACTGAGCCAGCTAGGCACCCCCTGTAGTTGTCATTCTTAAACGTGTCTCTTTAGTGCACTGTGTAAGAATTTCTCTAGGGTAGACTCCTAGAAGTTCATCATCAGTATAACTAGCTATTTTCTTCCTAAGTTGATTAATTTATTTTGAGAGAGGGGGAAGGGCAAAGAGATGGGGAGAAAGAAAATCTCAAACAAGCTCCGCACTGTCCGTGCAGAGCGAAACGTGGGGCTCGAACTCAGAAACCGTGAGATCACAACGTGAGTCGACGTCAAGAGTTGGACACAACCAACTGAGCCACCTAGGTGCCCCGTAACTGGCCATTTCCAGTTGCTCTCCACGTGGGTTGTAAGAGCATTAAGAGTTTGTATTTCCCCATATATTCATCAATACACTTGATCGTATCAGGTTTTTTTTAATTTTGCCCATTCCAATGGGTATGAAATGATATCTCATTATTTTAATTTGCATTTCCCTAATTACTCACAAGGCAAGGCATCTTCATATATTTATCAGTTCTCTAGGTTTTCTCTTCTCTGAATTACTTGTTTCTGTCATTTACCTATTTTCTACTTGGTTTGTTTTTCTATATCCCAAGTCTGTCATATCTGTTTCCCATTTTGTTTTGGTTTTTTGGCTTGTCTTTTCACTTTAATTTTGGACTTTTCTGTTTCATAGGCATTTTTAATTTTAGTGTTATCATATTTACCAACTTTATCTTTTATAGCTTGTGATGTTTGTATATTGTGTAAGAAATCCTTCCCTGTACTGAGATTATAGATATTCAAATTATATATATATATTTTAATGTTTTTATTATTTATTTTGAGAGAGAGAGAGACAGTGCAAGCAGAGGAGGGGGAGAGAGAGAATCCCGTGATGTCATTGCAGAGCCTGACATGGGGCTTGATCCCACAAACCGAACATGAGATCATGGCCTGAGCTGAAATCAAAAGTCGGACACCCAGACGCCCCTAAAAATATTTTCTATCATCTAAGTGTTTGTATATACTAAATAGGATTGAATACACAATTGTGCAAGACAGACTGTAATTTAAAGAGCTTATTCAATAGGGATGTAAATGTTTAAGATAGGTTTTTCACACTTGGGTCTTAATCCATCTGGAATTTTGTGTGTGTGGTGTCAGAGATATAATTTTACTGTTTACCTTATGGTTAACCAGTTGTCCCTACTGCTCCATTGTTTGACTAGCCCATCCATTCTCCACTGCATTTTAATGTCGCTTCTGTAATATACCAAGCTCTTGTATGTAGGTTTGTCTGCTTTCTAATCTGCTCCATTGGTCTCTATGTATCCTCTGAGTCAATGACATATTGTTTCAATTACTGTAAGTTGTTTTTTTTTTAATTACTGTAAGTTTAAATAAGCCTTGCAATCTGATACAAAAACCTCCCCACTTCACCATTTTTTTCATTAAAACTTTATTTTTTAGATCAGTTTTAGGTTCACGTTTCCCATATACCCTCTGCCCCCACACAGGCACAGCCTTCTCCATTATCAACATCCCCTACCAAAGTGATATATTTTTGCAATTGCTGAATCTACATTGACACAGCATAATCACCAAAACCCATAGTTTACATTAAGGTTTACTCTTGGCATTGTATCTTCTATGGGTTTAGACAAACATTTAGTG